CCGTTTGCGCCAGGACCCTGAGCTGACCTTCGTTCCTGAGATCTACAACGAAGCATTGGTTTCGATTGAGGATCTTTGTTTGGCTATCGCCAACAAATCGTTGGTTCAGCTGGGTATGCATGCCCCGGATCGAAGTGCTCTGGATACTCAAGATCGCGATTTAGTTCGGGAAAGCGATTTTGATGTGGGAGCTTTGGCTGAATTTGTCGAAACCAATGTTCCACTTCTGCTACCAGAACAACTGACCGCTTACGAAACTATCATGAGTGCGATCGCGAATCGTACCGGTGGTCTGTTTTTCCTCGACGCACCCGGCGGCACCGGCAAGACTTTCCTGATATCTCTGATTTTGGCGACCATCCGTTCTCGGAAGCACATCGCATTGGCGATCGCATCTTCTAGAATAGCCGCCACACTTCTCGATGGTGGTCGAACGGCTCACTCCGCTCTGAAGCTGCCATTGAATGTGCAAACGATCGAGATGCCCACATGCAATCTTGCCAAAAATTCCGGTATGGGGACCGTTCTGAGAACGTGTCGAATCATAATTTGGGATGAATGCACAATGGCCCACAAGAAGTCCTTGGAAGCCCTCGATCGGACATTGCGAGATTTCAGAGACTGCCAGGTCCCTTTCGGAGGAGCGCTGATCATGTTGTCCGGTGACTTCCGACAGACCCTGCCCGTCATACCACGCGGGACACGCGCCGATGAAATCAATGCCTGCCTGAAGCAATCGACTCTCTGGCGACACGTTCAGAAATTGACGCTCACGACGAATATGAGGGTTCAGCTTCAGAACGACACGACCGCTGCACGCTTCGCGGCTCAATTGCTGGACATTGGCTCTGGGAGGATGCCCATCGACAGATCTTCACAAAGCATAACTTTGCCCTCGGATTTCTGCACGGTGTGCTCGACGAAAGAACGTTTGATCCAGAGCGTCTTCCCGGACATAGAACGGAATTTCAGAAACCGTCAGTGGCTGAGTAAGCGAGCGATCCTGGCCGCCAAGAACTGTGACGTGAACGCCATGAATCTCAGCATTCAGAACAAAATACCCGGCGAAGCTAAGACGTACAAGTCCATCGATACGGTCATCGATCAAGATGAAGTTGTGAATTATCCAACAGAGTTTTTGAACTCACTGGATCTGCCAGGCATGCCTCCCCACGATCTGACCCTCAAGCTTGGTGTTCCGATCATCCTGCTACGGAACCTCCATCCACCACGCCTGTGCAACGGAACAAGACTCGCCGTCAAGAACTTGATGAACAATGTGATCGAGGCAACAATTCTCAACGGGAAATGTGAAGGAGAAGATGTTTTATTGCCAAGGATTCCCATGATCCCCACCGATATCCCCTTCGAATTCAAGCGTCTGCAGTTCCCAGTTCGTCCCGCTTTCGCCATGACGATAAACAAAGCCCAGGGACAATCAATGCAGGTATGCGGTCTCGATCTCGAAAACCCGTGTTTCTCTCACGACAATCAAGAAATCAGAGAGAATCATGGGAAAGCAGGAAAACGGGAAAGCAGGGAAACGGGGAAGCGGGGAAGCAGGAAAACGGGAAAGCAGGGACACGGGGAAGCGGGGAAACGGGACGCGCACCCAGAGCACGCGCGACCAAAGCAAGCGCACTCGGAGCCAGCGCAGCCGGAGCCAGCGCACCCGGAGCCAGCGCACTCGGAGCCAGCGCACTCGGAGCTAGCGCATGTGTAGTGAGTCTAGCGATACCGAGTCGCCGCGAAGCGGCGACCGGGAGCGCTAGTACATAGATAAATAACCAAGACAGATAATTCTAGGCATATACACATAACCGTAGAAAAAACCCAAAAACGAAAGCGGGAAAAGAGAAAGGGAAGAAGAACAGAAAAGAAGCACGAAAAGAACAAAAGAAAGCCAACCCGCACAAAGAGCAACCTGCTCCCAAAAAAAACAGAAAGAAAGGAGAAAAAACGCAAAAAATCAAAAAAATAAAAAAACCCGTGCAAACACTCCAACCGTAGAATATACGTTGGCGTGCATTTCTGTGATAATATAAAGATGACAACGCACACCACGCGAGTAGGCAAACACGCACCAAAGAAAAGCGAGAAGCGAGAGACACAAATGTTACACCTAACCAGATCAGTGAAATTCAAAATGAGACAGATGTCAACGGAGGAAAAGGAAGTCTTCCTGGAAAACAAGGAGAAGGAAAAAATGGGTACCCCACATACAAGTAGAGGACAACCAGAGGAAAATACAACCCGAGAAACACAAGTATTACATTTGACTGTATTTGAGAAACTTAGAATGAAACTAATGTCAATCGAAGAAAAAGGAGCCTTCCTGATTAGCAAGCTAGAAAAACAAGAAGCAAAGCTAGAGCAACAAAGTTCAAGCAATCCGTGCAGTGGTCAGCCGGAAACAACAACAGAAAAACTGCCATAGAACGACCCAAAACAGATCCCTACATGCGCAACTCACTAGAAGAGGTGACCTGGCCACCGGACTTGGGCAATGGTCCGCTCATGCCTCGGTTGAATGCCAGGTCGCCGTAGTACCCCCCGAAAGAAGATTAAGCGGACCCCGTTCCACGAAAAAACGAATTAAACAGCAAAGATGAGAAACACAGGTCCCAACGCATACAAAACCAAAACAAAAAAGCACCAAGCTCAGAGACAGCAAGGAAAAAAGACACCAAGCAAGACCGCCTCGTTCAAGAGACGCCACCCAACACAGAACAAAACAGCTCGGGAGTATAAGGCTAATTGAGTATTCCCCGTAGGGAAACAGTTGGAATGCCGAGAAGCGCTATCCTGTCCCCGCTCGGATGAGAGGAGAAGGTAGTGCGTTAGTGCGTGAGAGTCGCACACTACCCGGCGGAACCCCGAAGTGCGCGTTCTGTTGAGACGACGAGTTGGGAAAGTAGACCGGGCGTGCATAATGCATTTTCTACACCAAAAAAAAAACTAAACCAAAAAAAAAACCTAACCTAACCCTACTACGCCGCGAGGCTCCTCCAGCTTCAGAGGGCCCAACGGGATCTTCTTCTGGAGGCCTACGGCAAGTGGGCTACCCGCGAACTCTGGAGAATCCTGACAACAACACCCTCGACCACGGAGAGGGACCTCCACGCGCAATTCCCGGCAAACCAGAACGGAGTCGTGTACTTTGTGCCAATCAGGCAGGGGACGGAGCTGCCGCCCGACGTCGTAATATCAGGGCGTCGACCGTACCGTGAGTTCCACAGTTCTTCTTTTGAGTTCCGCTCAATGGTGATTGCCATTGTTTCGTTTTTCCGAGACAGCTTCCCTGTTCCAGTCTCGAAGGTACCGCTGGTGCACTTCAATCGGAGGAGTCTGGATCGTGGCCTGACTCTGACCGCCACATCTCGCCCGGAGCACTGGCGCAAGCTGGCGCAGCTTGCAGCGGACCAGATCCCACTAGTTCTGGATGCGTCAGTCTACCTGCCCGTGCAATTTCAGAGCATCCGTTTGTAGCTCTGGGGGTGACGCACTGTGTTTGATCGCACTTCTGTCTACAACTCGCCGCCCGTGCGGAACAACGGACCAGAACCTCTATAGTTTCCGAATTTCAGGAGGAGGACTCACGACTACCTCCACCGTCGTCGTTGAAACTGCTACGACCGAATCTACCTAACTTGATACCTATGCGAGCAGAAGTGACTTCCAGGACAACGCTCGCCGGGTTTTCACTTTTTCGAAGCTGACGTGTTCTCCGGTCACGCGGGTTGTGGTCTGTCGGTCCGTATCCGACCAGGCCTGGATAATTCGCCAGCTCAGCCAGCCTCAAAATTTGCGACGTCTGATCGCGTACAAAACGAACGTCGAGATCGTTTTCGATCTGGTCAGCCTTAGGTATGAGGCCGAATCATGCGACGGCTACGAGTGGTTCATCACTTTTGATTAATCTCATTTCATTTCACGAAATGTTTCCTTGCTTTGAGTTTTTTTTGTTTGTCTCAAGTCAGGCGCCCAATTGCAATACGGTTATCTTTGAGTATAAGTATATTTTATTCCCTTGCATTCCATTTCATTGAGGTAGGCCTTCACCCGAGTTTTCATCTTATTCGATGTCCTCTGTCGTTTCATGATAGGGATTATCGATTGCTCGATCCATGATGGCCACATATCGGCCCGTGCGTAATACCATCACCACTTTATTCAATACGTAGAGTACGATGCAAAAGCCGGACACACCGGCTTGAATCATGCCCGCAATCATCCAGGCTTTGCATTGATCTTCTGACTGCGGTCATCGGCTTCGGAGGGCAGATTTCCCCAAGTTTTCCCCAGTCCCTTTACTGGGAAAATCCCAAACCCTCTTCCACGCGATTGTTCCGGCAAATACGGTTCGAGCTCGACAGAGAGAGTAGGCTCGTGATACAGACGGCTATCTTTCGCCTCGTAAACAGCCCCAAGCCGCATACTGCAGAGGTGGTCAGCCGGACTCGCCAGGGGACGGGGAGTCTATAGAAAATATCATCATCCGGGATGCCACTGGATGTAAAAAGTTACAGGCCCCAACGGTAAAGGACCGATTACTGGCAGGGACAATCAGCTGGGAATGACTCAGCAAAAAAAATGAGAGCTCTTGAGCTGGGCTATCCAGAACACCCCTCAGTTTTTCGGGCAACCCGAATCGAAAAAAGCTTTCGAGCACAAATCTCCCATTGTGCGCCGCTGAGCAAGCCTTTTACCATCTGTCCCATGTCAGGATACCTCGTAGACATGCTATGGCTGTCCGAAGCGAACAGGAAACATGCTCAGATCATGCGGTGCGGTGGGCTCTCGCTAACTCAAACCTTGGCGGCTTCCTCGAAAGCGGTGACGTCTGCTTCGTCGACCGCGGGTTCAGGGACGTGAATGATCTTTTGGGGAACGAGAGAGGCCTCACGGTTCTCATGCCGATCTCTAAGTCTTCAAAAGAAGAGCTGACAGCGGAAGAAGCTAACGCGTCTCGCTTCGTGACGGAAATTCGCTGGGCTGTGGAAGCCGTTCACGGCATCATAAAACAGACGTATAGGATTTTCGACCATCGAGTCGACAATAATTCACTCCCAAAGATCGGTACGATGGTCCGAATAACGTGTTACTTGAACGACCGCTTCGGGAAGCCTCTGACGTCCCATGAGAGCATGTTCGTCGAAGTGGTGAAGCGCATGAGAGAGATGAGAAATTTTTGAATTCCCTAGGAGAGGAAGTTCGAGCGGACAACTGGAATGCAGTCCGGCGACCGTAGATCAAAGTGAACTCCGACTCGGTTGAGGACTTCCCGGAGCTGAATGAAGATGACCTAGAGGCCCTCTTCACAGGCACTTAGGAGCTGTCTCAGGCACTCTCGTATCTAGCCGAGATGATGAATGAAGATGGCAAGCTGACGCAGATGTACCATCGCGAGAAGAGCCACATCCTTGAAGTCCAAGTCATGAGACTCTCATGAGAAGGCTAAACAATACTGGTGCTACGTTGATTCAGCGGTACTACTGCGAGTATGGAAACGGAGCTCGTGCGGTGGGCTGCTGTTCTCATGTAGCGTCCGCCTGGTCAAGGACGGCGGCGCTCGCTTAAAGAACGAAGCGTCACTGAATGACGTTTGAGAGAAGGGGCCAAATTACCTGCCGGACTTAATCGCGGTTCTGATTCAGTTTAGAAGATCACTGTTGAGACTAACTTTAGAATAGCTACACTCATTCTTCTAAGCTAAGCTTTCTGTCATATCTATTTCGGTAAACCCCGACTCCGTACTGTGCCACGTGCCAGAGGCTCCAGCTCTGACACATGTCAGAGGCTCCACTCATCAGGCCTCTCTTCTGATTCCGTATTTAGTAACCATCTGGAAATCTTACTCGATGCCTTACGAACTGTGCCTCTCGGAAAGGGTCAACCTACTGATATATAAGACGACACTTTCTCCAATAAAATTACTGTGGTGTGCTCCCATCTCAACCTCCGGTTGTCCTTCCTGAGCTCGTACGTGTCCCGCTGATCTACCGAACCCAGCCTTCGA